CGAACATAATCAAAGCAAGCAGTACCACAACATTTGTAGGTTGGCACTCAAGAGACTTCGGCATATTAAGTCATAGATGCTACGGTGGCAAGAGGGAAACTGTGATAAGACCTAGGGAAGGAGTTCTGCATAACAATATGACAGACTCTAGTCAACATTCCCATCGCAAGGGTGAAGGGGGGGGTGATTACGCCAGCGTGGAGTGTGGAGGGTTCTAATGAATGCCGTTCAAAAGGGCATACCACATTAGATCCAAAAATGCACTTAAAAAATATAACAGTGAAGGCGTGATAGGATAAAGGAGAAGGAGAGATATCCCAACTTTTTAGCACATAATTGGTCAAAGGATCGGCTTCACTTGTCTCTTTGACGAGTTGTAGTATGGTGTTAAGAATGGTAAAACTCACTGACAATGACGGCGGAACGTTTGGGAATGTACAACGTCCAGAGTCCGACTTTGGAAATGATCATGCATATAATGGACTCCGGACTATTTGCCTTCCTCTAAGTTTTCATACCAATATGACTAAGTTGCGAAAACAAGGTTAAACAACCTCTATATTAATCTTAATTGTCAGGCCATATGGGGATTGAATTAGGCACTTTATTGCACAAGGTCAGTCCCTTAAAATACGAATATTCATTCAAAACAGTATACACACTTTACATGGGCCAATTAATTATTTTAGCCTTGAGCGTTTTATGATTCTTCTTGCATATTTACTATTTTTCATTAATGTGCAATACTAATCTGCCACCTTTAATCTATGTGATACTGAAAATGGTGTTATTCGATTATTTTGCATCTTCGTTTATAATTTTTTGTGGCCTAGACTAATTAAAAACGTAGAAAGAGGAAACTGCCATCTCAATATACCAGAATTAGTTTTCCGTTTTTACTAGAATCTTGATACACTCATTTCACACTGTATTTTTTCATCTATTTGTTTTTTACTCATCTAAACAATTATCCATTCCTTTATGCAGGCCTATACTTCATTGTACACACTCCACGGGTTCTCTTGGAAACGCCCACTGCCTCTTACACAACTAGTTGGCGATACGCCTATTATTTCTCACATATTAGATCGCATTAACGACATGCACCATGAAGAACGCCATCTGTCTGCTTCAAGGCTACTTGAAGGTGCCGGGCTCGAGTCAAGTTTCCAAGTTGTAGACGGTCTGCGCTCTCGGCAAATGACTAATGATTCATGTCGTGGCTCTGGTACCCCTGAAACTAGTTCCTTAGGTACTTCAGCAGTTGATCTTATGCGCGCAGCACTCAGCCTCTTTATCTCCATCGACCAGGCGCGGCGTGGCCTTTGCCGTCAGGTCAGTCGGCACTTGTTTATCTTGTCTATGTCACCGATTGACTTGACGGGTCTGAGCTCAAATCCAAGCATCTCTATTGTTCCGGACATCGGTATGAGCTCAGAACGTGGCTCCGCCGTCTATCAAACTGGCCGGGAACGGGTAATATCCGGTGGCAAGGATCTGGAGGATTACGAAGATGGGGATGACGACGAGGATACGAAGGAATTCCGGTCCCAGCGGCGACCGCAACGACTTACTCCACGGCATCAGCAGCATAAGCGATTAGGAAATGAAGAGAAGAATACGTCCTCTTTGGGCCGCCTGTATGTTGAGGGTCACAGTCCGGAAGAAAATGAGGATATAGTACCATGCTCTTCTAGTGACACGCAAAGTACTGAGGAAGCACCGGAAGGAGCAGAGCTACGCCACGCAGCCATTGAGCGTGATACAGATCCGACTTCTAGCTTCGTCCAAAATGGACATCGAGTGTCTATGCTGAGACCATCCCAGGACAAGTCAAACGGAGAAAATGTCCACGATGGATTCGGCAACGTCAATAATCACTTGTTCTCTATTGGAGGTAGCTGTGGGCTCTCTTCTGCTGGAACGATCAATCCTCTGGTGGAGCTCAAGTCGCGTGGAGTAGCGCTCAGCGTCTTCTCCCCTGTGTGCCTTCCTAGCCTGGTTGAGCTCTATCGGCTAGTCAATGATGACTCAGTGTTGCTCGTTGCTGATGGCTGCTGGCAGACAATTGCCTTATGCAGTAAGCTGTTAATTTATTCATTTTTATGGATGTAACATTTGTATAATAGACACATTTAAGCCGCTTTTTAATGTAAGCTTTTCTGAGTGGCATGACATCAAGATTTTAAATTAGAAATACCCTTTTAAAGATTTTATTTATTTTACTTCCTAAACATGTAAATACTGGACTTTAAAGACCTATTTATATTTATTTTGTAAGCTGAATTAACTCTTTTACTACACTAAGTCTCAAGCAGTTTTGCCAAGTCATTTTTATAACTAATTGACTTTCTCGCAGTTTTCAACTATACGTGAAAATAATTATTGAGATTCATGGGATACAATGAAATCAAATTTAAAAATCATGCCTTATCATCACTTATCCGTGAATATGGTCACAATTTTTCTTATAAGACTTTACTAAGTTGGTGCACACTGACAAGACTCAGCATTTACTGAATCTACCTAATTATCTTCTGAACATTCTCCATGTGTATACCTAATCTGTTTTCCTGTATTTCCATATACTTGTATTTTTACATGTATTTTCATACATTTAACCAATCGTCCTACATACTCGTGGCTAACGTGCTCAAGTAAATGTATGCAATTAACTTGTCTTAGTCTCGTTGCTTATTAGATCAATGTTTCTCTATACTCAGATGTCTGGGCTACTGTACATAAAAAATTTCACTTCGAAATTTTATCGTCAACATATTATCTTATCTGCTATTTTTATATTACAGCAAAAACCAAATTTATATCAATCGCTTTTCATGGAAAAAGTTAGCTGCTATTAATTGAGGTTGATTCATTGGTAAAGTATACAGCTGTATACAGATGTTAAGGCTTATTTGGTTCTTAAGCGTAATCCGATCAGTAGAAAAATCTGTCTTCTTGACGCCTATACTTAAAGAAATTTGTTGATTCCACCTATCATTATAGAAATGTGCATTAATTTTTGATACATTGATTATTGGTGATCTATGAATTTTGTTGCTGAGGGTCTTCATTCAATAGGCTCGCGATAATAATAGATTTTTATATTTTATGCTATTATATACTTAAGCTATTTTCCTTTGGAATTTTTTAATCCTCAACATATCATCCAGCATCTAATCCACGCCGAATTTCCGTAGTTTTCTAAGTAGGACGATACTTTAGCCGCACTTTCTTACTAGCACCAAAAAATTCAGCATCAAACAAAGATATGACCCCAGCTTTATCATAATTTACCATTATCTTTTCACCTCACGTGAATGTAAAATAATTTGCTAGTAACCGGTGTTGACTTCGCCCCATTTATCT